ATTCCACCCCCCTCAATTTCTTGTCCTTCGAAGGTCTGTGGAAGAGAAGAGAAGAGAATTATTCTAAATTCCACCCCCCTCAGTTTCTTGTTGTCCTTCGAAGCCTGTAGAAGAGAAGAGTGGAGAATTGTTCTAAATTCCACCCCCTCAATTTCTTGTCCTTCGAAGGCCTGTAATTTCTTTTTGAAGATGAGAGAGAAGGGACTTCTTCTAAATTCCACCCCCCCGAATCTTGTTTTGTTTTTTGGATCTCATTTTTGGATCTCATTCTTCGAAACTCAGAGAAGACTCTGGAGATGCTCCCGTCTCTCACCTTCCAAGCCTTCGAAGCCCCCTTCGTCCTCACCTTCGAAGCCTTCGAAGCCCCCTTCGTCCTCACCCTTCGAAGCCTTCGAAGCCCCCGCCAACCTTTGTCCTCACCCTTCGAAGCCTTCGAAGCCTTCGAAGCCTTCGTCCTCACCTTCGAAGCCTTCGAAGCCCTCTCCCCTTCGTCCTCGCCTTCGAAGCCTTCGAAGCCCCTTCGTCCTCACCCTTCGAAGCCTTCGAAGCCTTCGTCCTCACCCTTCGAAGGCTTCGAAGGAGGCTTCGAAGCCCCCTTCGCCGAAGGGTAACGGGATGCAGCCCCCGGCAACTTGTGATGAAAGCAGGAGACTCTGAGTTAACGCGGCAAAAGAGTTCGATCAGACCAACACTTTCGTGGGTTTTCATTCCGCTACGGGGGGATCAGGAGCTGCAAGATGTCAATGTGTTGTAAACGAATCGGCAAATCTGTTTGTTTGTTTTGCATGTTCTTTTTGCAGGCCGTAGAGAATTATCTTGAAATACTCATTTGGTTTTTTTTTGCAAGTTTTGCGAGAATTTAAACAACATCCAGTTGGTCATGACTCCATCGTAGTTGTAACCCATCGCCAGAGCACTAACCCTTTGCGAGTATGGAAGCGGGGACTCTAGATGCAAGCACACTGCCATGAAATGAAAGTCAACATTCCCCAACTTCCCGTGCCCAAGCGGCTGCGGTTTCGCAAGCGTGGCTACCTGTTGGCGATTTCTCAGGTGGTAGGCATGTCTTCACGTGTGTCCAGGCATGTGTGATTCCGTGATGGCTTTGCGCAAAGCCGGCTAGATAATGTTCTTTCATGGAGCTTCAAGGACTTGGTGTTAAGCAACGTGCAGAAACATATTGTGCTATGCATGCCGCGTGCAAAAGCGCGGGTTGCCATTGTTGTATTTTCACAATCTTGCTTGTTGTGGCTCGGCACCAGCTTGGTTGTCCTTAAGAGGTCCAGACCACGTGCCAGACGCAGAAATCTTGATCTGCAGTGCCAGTCGAAAGCATCGGTTGATCCATATCCAAGGCCTTTTAGCCCACAAACAAATCCACGGCTCATTTGCGCATCATCAGCGTCAGTTGGAGCTGGCCCGGGCTTTGAGACTCAAAAAGTTTTGAGCACCGGCTTTGAGTGGTCTGGGCATTGAAGATACTTGCCGCTGGTCCGGGGTTTGGAACCCAACATTCTGAGCATGCTCAGCATCCTCAGCTGGCCGGAGTGCTGAAGCCCAAAGCTTCGAGCATCATCAGCATCAGCTGGAGCTGATAAAGGTGGGGTCATGGTTCCGGGCCTCGGTCCTGCTACAGGAGCCGAAAGTATCAGGACAGGCTGTGAGGACATCAGGGAGGGCAATTATCCTGTGAGGGCACCTGCAACCTGTTGTAAGGGCACCCTACAAAGTAAATGCAAAGTAGTTAGCTCTGATTACATGCCTCTTGTACAGTTATAACCCTCCAGCAGTTCTCCTTGTTCCAGTTTGTTTCGCCCGTGGCGCGTTCCCTATCTTCGGGCTTGGCGCTGAGTGAGTTAGTGCGTGTGGCTACCATCCATGTGGATAAAGGTCTCTAAACACCTACTCTGGTTTAATATTCCCGGAAAGACGAATGAAACCAGTGGATTCAAGCCGTGTGAGTTGCACTGTATGGGGAAAGACATTGCTCATTTGTTGAGAGGTGGGCCAGGGAGGTGCTAGTGGTTCTCGGTGGGCATGAAGTTTGGGGGATAACAGAAAATTGCTTTTGGGGAGACAGGCCTCCTTAAAACATGTGCCACAATGGTTAAGGAAGGAGGCTTTTGGAAGACAACGAAAAGGCTTTCAGGATCCTAGGATGAATTTCATGGATTTTTAGCATCCAATTTTCGAGTACAGGAGATCTGAAGATACTAAATGCCAGCAAGGCTTGAAATCGGACAGAGCACAGTGCGCTTCAGACCGTGTCAGAAACCCCCAAGAAGCTGAGGGGTGCGAGGTGACCCGATTTGGCCAGAGGTTGCCCGAGTGCTGGATGCTGAGGACCTTGAGGGTCAGATGAGGACGCCAGCTGCACTTTCGAATAGAGCAAAGCAGACGAGTGTAAGGCGGATGCGTTTCCGCGTTGAAGCTTTGTGATGTTTGTCACACCGACTTCTCCCCTCGGTACTTCTTCTTGGAATCTTCACCGGAGATACCATTCTCGAAAACCGACCAAGCAAGTTGATGAGCTTGCTCAGGAACCACACCGCAGCGACCTTCCCGCGCATCCAACGCAGAGCCGCAGACCTAGGGTCCTTGAGCCGGGTAGTCAAGGCTTTACGTGGCCATGTGGAGACATGGGAGAATCAGACTGGAACACTAGATTCACGAGATGGTATTTTCGGTTCTTGATTCAAGAATCGCAGGTCCCATGTGCACAGCGCTGTGAAACGTACAGTGAGTTGAGTGGTGCTTCAGGACGTGTTCTTAGTGCATCCATCGACACTGAAGTCGCGCAAGAGTGGAGCGCTGGCCCCCCAAAGCTTCTCCTGAGCCCAGGCCAAAGCATCTCCGTCACTGGCTGCGCCGAAGTGAGGCCTTGTGGGAGGGGGCCAGGTGTGTTTTTGTGAACATTTGAAAGACTCAACCCGGTTCATCCCAAACCTCAACATCCCGAATTCCCAAGCCCCCCATCAAGCCTAAACCCCTTCTTGACGTAGCTAAGCCCTCAAGTGGCAACGAAAGATATACGTCCCTCGGCTTCCCAAAGCCTGAAGGAGTCAAGCAACCTCGAACCTGCGAGGCCCCCAACCGCACCCCCAAGATGGGAATTACGTGAAGTTCGTTTTGGAGCTTGTTCGGTCCTTCTGAAGTTCCAGGTTCTGGACGAGCTGCCTTGAGGTGATTGGCTTTTGCACAGGAGCTCCTGCGACACTAGGGGCAAATCCGTGTTTTGCGGATGCTCTATGCTGTGAAATCTGTACTCTTTTTGTCAAATATGTCAAGATGCCTCAAATATGTTTCAAATAGACCTGCCATACCTGTGACTCTGTACCCTGAACTTTTGGAGGCCACCAGATCCTGTCTTGCCACATTCTATGCTCAATCAAAATGGTGAGCCGGGTGGTGAGGGTACGATTTCAGGTGGCGATCTCACAGATGTCTCAATATTCTGAAGATTAGCCATGTTCCAAGTGTGTAGCCCGCCTGCTCTTTTCGCACGGATTGTTCCGGATGGTCCTCCATGTCGTTTGTTCTGCGTGGTGCTGGCCGCCGTGCAAGAAGGAGGTAAAGAACCAACTTCTAACGCAACACCAGGTAGACTGCCGTTTCCGAGGCCGACGTCGCGAAGCCCGTGGCCAGTATAGGTCAATACAAGTCCCGCCAGCCAGAGGTCCTACAAAGTGCCGCTTTTCACCGTGAAGCGACACAAGGAAGGTTTCATGGGGCGTAAATGGCAGGCTGACGCTTGCCGTTGTTATTTGTTGGGCCCTAGGATCCAGTTTCGGGGCGCTGTTTTGGGGTTCGAGTTAATAGGTCCGGCCTTCCGTGTGAGGCGTGGCAAGCGCAAGCCCGGCAAGATCAGCAAGGCACCGGGGTTTGATGCAAATGGGGAGGTTGCAGATGTCATTGCCCAGGCAAGCAAGGCCCATCATTCTAAGTCATTGGCCCGAAGACGACCCGAATGAAAGCCTCAACGACGAAAGTCTCCGGGTTGGCATCCTAAAGGCCCCACAGCAGTGCCGGAGCAGTGCCGGAGCTGCTTCGGATATGGTTGACTATGTTTCCAAAGTCCAAGAATCGTTGAAGGCGGTCTTCGCCCGAGGCCTCAACGAAAAGGTTTGGCGACCAGTGGTGTAGGTTTGATGAAACACAAAGTTCCATTCTATGGAGGACCTTGAGAGTTTGGTGGGGCTTCAAGACCAGGCCAGACTGAACCACAAGGGCTTGCGTTCGAGTTCAGAAGCCTTGACAACTCCTTGGCGTCCTGTTGGCGGTATGGTGTACGTGGCGCCGCCGAGGTACCTAAACCCTGAACTCTTAACACACAGACTGTACACACCACCAAAGCACCGCACCCAAACATCAAACGGCTCCTGCCCTACACTTCCTCAAAGCCTTCGCCGAACATCAAAAACTCATGAAAATTCGAAATCTCCTGAACCCGCGAAGCACAAACACCTGGCTCCAAAGAGAACGTGCTGAGGTGCAGCGATTCAACCCCTTCGGTGGGTTTACAAGGATTGATGGAATTGGCTCCTTTCCAAGGCACCCTTAAACGCCTCTGAGTTTGTTCACCTGTACACACCTGGTCTTTTGGTTTAGGGTTTTAGGTTTACGGCCCCGCCCACGCAGGGTAGAAGCTTTTTTCCCTTTCCGCGGAAGCTGTGAGGAGCAGTTGCCACCTGCGCCCGGATCAAGGCCGCAGCATTCCTACGCCAGTCCATGGGGGGGGTTGCGAGGGGGTTGGTGTCCTCGAGCTCACAAATGGGTATGAGGTATGTGGGCTTAGGGTACCAGTTGCTGCTTTTGCATTGTTTGACGTGTCTGATTTGCTGCCAGTGGTTGCTGAAATCTGGATTGGTACGATGAACACAAGAATGCAACATTTTCAGCTGCCGCATTCGCTCTGTTGACAATACCATTTTGGCTGAAGCGTCTTGTCTAGTGCCCTTCTTCTCCATATCAGGTGTCGCTTTTAAGCTTCTTTGAAGCAAATGAGGTGGATCCTTGTGCCGCATCTCCTGTGCTTTCATGTGGTGATGGCCACAGAAATGTCAGGGGAGTGTGCTGAGACGCAGTCGGAGAGTGATGCATCAGTCGCCTTGCAGCGACTGGGGTCCAACGGCACCGTGCGCAAGGCAACCAGAGACAAGTCAGCGTACGCTCGCTTGATGGGCAACATGCAGAACCTTGGCATTCATTGCGGGATTCAACCGCATGCAATGAGTTAATCTGTGCAATGCATGGCGTTCTTCTTTCGGAACACACAGGCCCACCTCACAAACGCAGAGGTTTTGACTTTGCTTCAAGAGCAGTCAAGGCATGTTGTGGCCCAAATTCGAAGGGCCAAGGAGGCAGGGAGGTCTATCGATGTGACTCGGGATCTGGATGATTTGGCGGACGACTTCCTTGAGACGTCGCTGAGACATTTGTTTGGAACCTTTTGGCACGTGTACTGCAGCCCGTTTCCACACGAGTCTAACTTGTGGCCTCTTGAATTGTTAACACCCAGCTGAATTATGGCCCAGGTCCGAGCCGGGCGACCAGCAGGAACAGGCAGATCTGGATGACTTGGAGGACGGCTTCCTTGAGACGTTGCTAGGACCTTGATTGGGAAAGACTTTCCATGTGTACCGAAATCCGTCTGCAGACGAGTCTACCTTGAGTCTAACTTTTGACTCCCGTTTAAATTACGGCCCAGGTCTGAGTCTGCCAACAGCCTCGTGCAAGAAGAGGCATCGCGTAGGCGCAGACGCAGCAGGCGTCGCGCAATTGACTTCACGGCTTCTGCTGCATGCACCTACTTCATCTTTTCCGATGTTGAATTTCGAGCTTAGTATGAATACTATGCCGGCGGAACTAGTCACTGCCGCATCCTGACGAACATGAACAATGTAGTTAGTTCCGGCATCTTCACGGCAGAGAACGGCTGCAAGCTCACGGCCTTTGACGGCAATACTTGCATCGGCAAGCCTAGCATTGTCCTCGTGGATGCAACCACCAATGCAAAACACAGAATCCGAGTGCTGAGTGACTTCCCGCACTCCATCGGCTGGAATGATCAAATCAGCTCGTTCAAGTGTGACTGCAGCAGGTGACATGTTGGCGAGGCATGAACGACACCAAGATGGGTGAACATTTCTTCCCATTGGGTACGGCAGACGCTCCAGCACATTTGGTGCGTGCTATCTCGATTCAGATTATGTTTTAAGCAAATGTCTTATGTACTTAGAAAGACTCTCCAAGGGTCGCGTGTCCACAAAAACACTCCGATGCAATTGCCTGGAACAATCCCTGCGTCTCAGCTGTTGCAGTGACACTGACAGCCAGGGCTACCTCTACGTGCTCGGGGGCCATGATGGCTTCAACGCCTTGCGTGCGGGCGCCCGTCTTCGTCGGGGGTTCTTGGTGGTAAGTAAGTAAGAAGCAAGGTGGTAAGTAAGTAAGAAGCAAGAGTAGAAACAACATAAGCAAAAGGGAAATTCAGAAAAGTAGCTAAGTAGGAAAGTAAAGTAAAGTAAAGTAAAGTAAAGTAAAGTAAAGTAAAGTAAAGTAAAGTAAAGTAACGTAATTTAACGTAACGTAACCGCCGTCCAAAACGCCGCGTCCTTTTTTAAGGCTGCTTTTGGAACTGCCGTGGCCGTTCTAAACGCCGCGTCTAATATTAAGGGGATCGTCTACCATGGCTGGAGTCGTGCTAAATGCCGCGTCTAATTAAAGGGTCTCGCTTAAGGCGTCCCACGTTCCCAAAGCTTCGCAGGCTGGCAAGCTTGAAGCAAGTCTGAAACAACAGCTTTGCAGGGTCAAAGCAACCTTGAAGCAAGTCTGAAACTGAATCCTAAAGCTTCCCCCGATTGAAGCAAGCGCAAAATTAGAAACTGCAGCCTAACTGAGCTTGAACCCCCCTTCAACTCCCTGTAAGCACCCCTAAACCTGGCAAAAAGCACGACGGAGTTTCGCTCACTCATCATCCTCGAAGAGGAGTCTGTGCTCGCTCTCATCGTCAACAGCTTCGCACTGTGGGTCTTCACGCTGTACAAGCTGCGGTTCGAAAGCAACTTTGAACTCCGTCAAGTTGCACCACTTGACATTGTCTACACCAGCTCTTGCGAGTTCCCGTAATTTGCCATAGACAGCAAACATGTCACAACCTGCAAACCACATCTTTAATTGAAAAGCACGCATATGGAAATGCACGAGCTCTTCCATACGTGGCGCTGACTCGTCTGAGGCTCCGACAGTGTTAAAAGGTTTCCGTCCTACAACTCTGCGGAAACTTGCAAAAAACCATCAAGCTTCTGTGTGCCACCAAGCCGCACGTGCTTCTCGAAAGACTCACCTGTCCAGACATTGACCTCAAAGCGCTTCGTAAACCGTGGGTGCGGAGGCTTGTGCTTCACTGCTGTGTGTGATGCTTCAGCCCGAACTTTGTCCCGTCAACGAGAGGTCTTTCAGTTGTTGGGCTTGCAAGCGCTCTAGGCCTTGGCGCCGTCGGTGCGGCAGACTGACCCTTCTGCCAAAACGGGTTTGTCCGACTCCAGCAGTAGGGCCTCCTTCATCTCCTCCAAAGAAAGAGGTCCGCCTCCACCTTAGCCAGCTTGAGTCACGCGGTATGGCAAACGCTGCAGCCACGCCTTGCTTGAACCACGCCTGGCCACACCAATGTACCGAAGCCACACCGCCACTTCGTCCAGCTCGAAGTCGGCGCCACAAGCTCCAACCGCAAAACCACAAGTGAGTCGTTGAGTTGCTTGACCATGTGAAAAGCTTGTTGAAGGTCTCTTACAAAGCTCGAAGGTCCTGTGGTCAACACCAAGCACAACACTGGCCTGGTCAGGCGAGAAGTGCAAGCCAGACGTGTGCACCCACATTGCCCCAGCAAGAGACCTCAACGCGAGGCGCTTGCCAAAAAGGTCCTCGTCTCGTCGAGTCACAGCCAAGGTCTTTCGCGCTTTGCCCACTGGAGAGACCTTGAGCCCCCAACTTCCACCGAGTCTGTCGAGCAGTGCACTTGCAGCTGCCCCGTTTCCATCCATTTGCCCGCTGCACTGCGCAGCTGGTCATCAGGAGGGTCTCGGTTGGGCCGTTGGGCCCTCCGGGAGATGCATCGAGGGCGGATCGCTGCCTTTGTCCTGAACTTGGACCTGCCCACTGGCCGCTGATGTGGTGAAGGGGCGACCGCTTTAAGAAAAAATCATTGTCTTGTCCTGAATTTTCGGTGCCCATGTCATTGTCACAAGTAATGCAAAAAGCCGTTTCAATTTTAGAAGAGAGCAACAATTAAAACTCACTTGAAGGTTGATGCTCACCTTTGGGTTGCTCAGCGACTCACAACGCCTTTCAATAGCCTATGTCCACATCATGCGAAAGCAAAAATATCCTCCCATTCATCCTCAGAACCGGACTCTCTGTCAGGTTGCACGAAAATATTAAAACCGACCTGGACTGCACCAAAGGATGACTGACATTCATGCAGGATTCCGCAAACCCGAGACTGAACTGGAGTTATGGCTGTTTGTTAGCTTTCAGGATGTGTTAATTTATTTTTCTTCTTCGCTGGTGGCTACGGGCTTGTGTTTCCGTGTGTTGAATCACGCGTGAATCACCTGACGGCAGCCTTCGGCTCAGCCCTCCGAGCCTTCTTCCGCCCACCCGCGCCAGATGATTTCACTGGCCTCCCTCGGATGAACAAGGTCAACAAGTTCCAGCAAAAACTTCGCCTTTCCGAAGAAGCAGTCGAGTCTCATAAGCCCCTTTGGCCAATTGCCTTCCAAAGAGGAGAGTTGCCCGCTGCCTGCATTCTGACTGAAAGCGCTTCTAGACAAACAACGCGACTCGTCAACGCGACTCGTTTCGCATTGAGAGAGCGGCACACTTGCTGGTGCGAAGGCAGTCACGGGTCTCGCAATCCAAGTGGTACGCCTGCGTGCCCTCTCTCTAGGAAGGGTTTCCCCGTCCCCCCCCACAGAGCATTCTGGACTCTCGCGCCCACCAGCTGCAGAATGAGAGGGGCTCCGAAAAGCCTCCGGATTCTGCCGTCTTTTGGGGCCCTTGGCCACTCGCAGCCCTGCAGCACCCTCGCGGCAGCCGATTGTGACTCGCACAGCTCGTGGCAGCTGTCAACTCGCGACCCTCCACTGGCTCCCCCAACACACGCTACATGTCCTGTATGTACTATACCCTCCACAGGCTCCCCCAACACACGCTATATGTCCTTTCTGTACTCTATGGCTCATATAGTGCGTGTAGCGTGTGTCTACAAGCCCAGTAGGGGCTGTATAGGACATACAGGACACATAGCAGAGGTTGAAACACACAGCGGTTTTTTGAGCCTCTCTTTTCGCAGCAAAGGAGTGAATCGAAACTCCTGAGACTGCAGAGTCCGCGGGCTTCAGCCTTCGGCTTCCGTTGGCCCGCAACGAACCTTGAAGGGCAAGGAAGATGTGGACCAGAATGGAAAGCTCGCTTACGCACTCCGATGGCGACGCTGGCATGTGAGTACCTTCTACGGAGGAACTTCCTCGTTGGCATCTTTCCACCGCGTGGCTGCATGCTCGCGCGCCAAGAGGCCGTGTTTTCGCGTAAGAGTTGCTACCCGTTAGTGATTTCTCAGGTGGGTAGGCATGTTTTCACGTGTGCCCAGGCATGTGTGTGATTCCGTGGATGGCTTGGCGCATTCTGGCCAGCTAGAGAATGTGTTTCCATTCCATGTAAAATTGATTCTTTCATGGAGCTTCAAGGGCCTGCTGTCAAGCAACGTGCAGAAACATATTGTGTTTTGCATGCCGTGTGCAAAAGGCGGTTGCCATTGTTGTATCTTCACAATCTTGCTTGCCGCGGCTCGGCACCAGCTTGGTTTTGTAGAGTCCTTGACCAAGCGGTCGTGCAGGATGTTGTCATGCTCACATGTAGCCTGGAACCCAAGCATGCACATACATGTGTTTGAAAGTAGTCCGTTCTGGCCTGAGTTTCAATCACAACCTCTTCCAAAATCGTTGTTCAGATGCAGAAGTCGAATGTCCAATGACCCCGAGTTGAACACATGCTCACCGTCTGTTAAAAGCGCTATAGATGCGCAAGCTGGCTGTGGGCTTGTGTGCTGCTGCCTTTGTCATGAAGCTGGGCAGGATGGCAGCATTTGGACAACTTCAGCACGCTATTTGCATGTTGCTGCTGCAACTTCTGCCGTTTGTCCTGAGGTGAAAGATGTCCCGATGATGTCCGCGGCTTCGCCTCGCCGCCCCTGTCCCAATCGGCCACCGCCTCAAAGACATGGAGGCCGTTGTAAGATGTTGTACGGCAGCTTCACGTATGGCTTGAGTCCCCATATGCTGGCCCTATTCAGGCTTGGGCTATTCAGTTTCATCGATCGTGTGTTGCAACATCGTGTTGAATGGCCTCTGAAGAGTGTAGTGCAGTGACAACAAGCAAACCCAGGGTGCCCGCGGTGCCCTTTTCTTGGAGCTTTGGACAGCATCCAATGACTAGTTTGATTGCCGCTTCGGCGGTTTGCGTTTGGATGTTGCGTTTTTCATGCTACATCAACCCAACCCTAAGTTTGAACCCCTCATGTTGTCATTTCCACAAGTGTGCGAACCCAAAGAAAGGACTGTGACGACTGCTTGTACCAAAATGGTTGGGCCACAGCAGACAAGCTCACGGACCCTCGTTTGCAATTAGTGCTCCTTACCGTTTCACAAAGAGGAATGTCGGGGGGTCAGCAAGCTGTGCTTGCAGAGCCAAGCAGAATCCAAGTGCACAACGCACAACCAGATTCCTGTGTCCATAACTTGCAAGTTGCTCAGGAAAGCATAGCTTCGTACACGACTCGGCTGGGCATCAGCAAAGACCGAGCGTATGCTCTGTGCTGTCCTCAGTTGTGTAGTCCAAATGTTCCCGGACGGCGCAAAGCATGTTTGAGCTCAGAAAGCTACAGTGCCGCCGTAATCCAACTGCCTTTCCGTCTCCGCGACAGCATCGAAGTTTCGATTTGTTCCTTGGAGCTTTCTATCTTCAGACTCTGACGCCCCGCTCTTCCTCATGGTTTCGGCCCGTGGTTTCAAAAGTGAAGCTGCATGCCGTTTTTGAAACAAAACCTCCCATAGAAAGGGGGGCAAGCTAGCCACCCTGGCCACCCTGGCCTGGCCTCGTACCTAGCCCGTGCGGAGCCCCCAAACCTACGCTGAATCCCTTACTAAGCCCTAACTGAAAAGAGGTATCAAGAACATGGCACAGCTTTGCGCGGCCTTTTGGCCGAAGGCTTGTTGGACTCGGACGGCGCGGAGAGGCTCCTGGACTTGGGCTCGTAGGGTTGAAACTCGAATCTGAAGAGTCGAGGGAAGAAGTGAAGTAGAGCTTTTTGTGTTTAAGCCTATGCTCCAAACCGGAAGGTAGTTAGTCTTCGGTAGCTTGGCCAAAAAAATGTGGATTCAGGGAGATGCAACACACCTGAGGGGATACTGACGCTGGGTCCATGTTGTGCCCGTGCTTGGATGATAAGCTCAACTGAGCAGCTTCACGCAGGTATCTGCGGGAGGTGCATGACATCGACTACTCGGAATCTCGGCTGTTCGAAGGGCGGCAGGAAGTGGGTAGTGGGTCTTCCTTCGGCGTGCAGGCAACGGCAGGGTCGGAGGTCAGGCTTCATGCCTTTGTGGGATCTCATAGGGCTTGATTCGGTGAAGCGTCTTGGAGGTGTGGGTTTCGGGACCGCACACTGCAAGACCATCGTGGATATCTGGCTCGCAGGGACGGACTGGTCTTGCCAGTCAACGGTGTCTTGTGTGAGCTCGTAGCATGATGCAAAACATGGGAGAACAACTCTTGCGGCTTGACGTTCAGAACAGCATCGATGGACTCAGTCACAGAGTTTCAATTTCTGCCACCAAACGAGTAAAGGATTTGCTGGAAAAGGTGAAAGACCAAACCGGATGCCTGGACTTGACAACTCTGGCAGTAGTGAGAGGCGAGATCGAGGCACGTCTTTGTGCAGAGGATGTGTTGAGCGTTGCCCTCGACCAGACAGAGACACGACTCAAGGCCAGCGCCGAACCGCTTGAGCTTCCACGCCATCGCTCACGATCGGGTCGGGTGTCAACTGCAGATCGCACACGCGAGCCGGCACCGGGAGACAACGCGGAGTGCTGTTTCGTGGAGGTCAAGCAGAGCTTTCGGCTTCCTGTTGGCAGTGATGAAGAGTTCACTCTATCGGTTGACCGAGGCGAAGAGGTGGAAGTTTCAGATGCCACTGACCGCGGATGGCGTGCTTGCCGCAAAGGCTCGGCGGTGGGCTGGGTGCCCGAGTGGGCCTTCTTCAGCCAGCAGAACCCGCAGAAGCCACAGATCAAGGCCTGTGTCAAGCGGCTCAAGGCCAAGACTGGACAGTTCGTAGACGGGATCCAGATGGAATTGCACAGCGGCGCGCAGCAGCTTTATGGCGGCTCAGGAGGTGTTGAGACCACGGAATTCACTTTAGATGAGGACGAGGCCATTGTCGCAGTGGAGCAGGTCGAGAGCCGCAAGTGCTTGGCGGAACATCTCATCTTCCAGACGAGCAATGGTCGAAGGATTGAAGTCAAGGGCTACGGGGGACCAGGCAAAGAGGCGCGAAAGCACAGGTTCGTGGCACCCGACAAGAAGCAGATATGTGGTCTCGTTTTTCGGGACACTAAGCTGGCAGGCGTGTGTGTACAGTCACAATTCAAGAGGGGATCGCGGAAGCACCCGCAGCGGCTGAAGAAGGATGTCTTGAAATATGTCAAGAGCAACCGGTGAGGACGCCATCTTGAAGCGTCTATTGCTTCAATCTCTTGTGCAAGTGATGGGCAATCTGAGCATCGCGAAGTTTTTCGAAGTGTGAAGCGGACGGGGAGGCTTTTAAATACTCCTACGCGCTCTCGTCGCAAAATGGGCTGCCTCACGTTTAGGGTTGCCAGTTAAGTCGCAGCTGAAGCAGAGATTGCGTGCAGACATCTAAGGATATCCACGAGGATCCCGTTCTGGATGCCGTTCTGGCCCGGCTGCGACGTGATTGGTCCGTTTGGGTATTCACTGCTTCAACCGCAGAGCATCTCGTCTGCTTTCAGGCTTTTCAGGCCTCCCTAGCAACCCTACAAAAAAGCGTGTTGTGAGTGTAGCTTACGCAGGTCTGCTACAGGAACCTGCTTAACAGAAAAGCTCCTTTCAATGCGACTTCTGCTCATCAGATTTTGTGCTTTAGGAATGAAGCTGCCCATAGCTGCCCTATGATTTTGGGGCCCTGCATCCAACAGACCGACGCGTGCCCTCAAACTTTCAGGATGACTATGAGAACTGAAAGTATATACCGCATCAACAATCACAGGCGGATCTATTTCCCGACAGTCTGTTGTTTTGTGAATGTCTTATTGCGAATGACTACTGGAACAGTATTGGATGAAGAACACGACGGGATCTTTTGAAGGATATCAAGGTCTCAATGATACTCAGTAGAGACAGGTGCTGCAAGACAATTGTCGGATACCTATCATATTGGCACTAACTCGCCTCCACCTAGGCGCGGCCTGCATGTTCACAAGTATTTGTAAGGGTCCATCGTTTTTCCTCTAAGGGAAGATGCAGGGTCCCTCATATGGTCCCTTACGTTCTGTTTAAGCGTTAAGGTTGAGGGTCGAGACTTCAAGTCTCAAGGTTTCGGGAGGGTTGAGACTTGAAGCTTTGAGGTTTAGGGTTTAAGGCTTTGGGTTGCGGCGGGCAAGTAAGCTAGATTCATCAATTCGCTTTCCGTGCCCACACATCCTGATCTGGTTTCCACACGGGCCTTGATCAGCTTGGGCTTCAAGCAGATCCCTTAGAAATCCCGCAAGCCCATGCCTGCCTCACGTGCCTTGGGGTTGGATGTCCAGGCATGCGGAGAGGTGTCCGGATCCTTAGCAGGGGAGAGGTTTAGATTGAGTTGGAAAGCCAGGTCTGAGGCGAGAGAGCTTCGGAGATTAGGTTATGTGGGCCTGGGGTACACTTGACCTCTAAGTCCTCTTCGGGTTCATGGGTTTGAGGTCTTCAGCGGCTGGGTCTCAGATCCTTGCGGCTATCCGGCATCGTCGACACCCGCGACTGTAGGCTCACAGGGGGTCCAGGGTTTCGCGGTCGAAACTGGGCCATACATGGAAATATTGAGTCTCGGGATTTGTCGGGGTCATCGTGTTGGACTCCATCCTAAACCCCCGCAAGTAATCCCCGTATTTCCCCCAAACCACGAGCCCTCAAGGTTCCCCACCAGCTGCAGCCTTTTCAGCCTGAGCTTGGCCCTAGTGTTGGGTCATGTCGGCTCAATCCCAGCTTCGAGCCTCTCGACCTCTAACCCCTGAAGTCCCCCTAGCCCTACTTTCCACCAGCATTTGCATGAAAGTTCTACAATCACCTAGAGTTCTGGCGGTTACTGGTTTCAAGGCTAGCAGATGAAGGTCAGTCTAGATGCATTACTTCCTCAAACGTGTTCAAAACCACAGCCGCTGAAATTCTGGAACCTGCTGCTCGCCCCGAACTCCCAGCTTGAGAAAAGTTCTGAGCAGCCCCCCTAAAAGGGGGCCCGATACAGGCTGGAGACAAAGCACTCCCCCTGCAGCTTCGAAGTGGCTCTGGCGGCTGCGGGGGCTGCCGGTGGCAGGCAGCCAAGGGCCCCCTTTGGGCCCTTGGGTCTTGAGAGGTCTTAAGGGGTTCAAACGGAGTTGATGCCAGGAAGGCCTCTTCTGCGCTTTAAATGTTGATCTACTTTACTGCTGGGCGGCAGGAGGGCTTGGTGACAGACATGGGCAAGTGCATACGGACGCTGGCGCACACCCTAGAGCACTAAACCGTAGCGCTGCAAACATCCCAAGCTCTAGGTCGCGCAGCCGCAAAAACCGTAACCCTTGAACCCTAGCCCGAAGTCGCGGACCCCTCAAGTTCTCAATCTTCGACACTGGTTAGTTCAACTCGAAACCGTGCCTCCCTCTGTATGACGGCTGTCGACACATCAGAGAGTTTATGGTTTTTCGGGTTCCTAGAGGCTCTGGTATGTGCAGCCCTCGGTCCCAAAGCCAGGCCGGAGCGTTGCCTCCTTTGTGATGACAGACCCTTGGCCTCGACAGGGGTGTTGAGGAGGTAGTTAGTCCCATTGTGATGTGCGCTGAGAACTCCGAACTCTCGATTTCTGGAAGCAAGCCCCTCAAGCCCTGAAACTTGGAACGGCAGCTCCAGCAAAGCCAAGGCTTACAATATAAGGCAGAACCGCGAATTCATTGTCTGCATCGTCTGCATTCTTTGCCATGAGTGCGGACATTTCAATCGCTAGGGAACGCTTGCTTGCCCTAAGCCCTAAGCCCTAGGCTCTGACAAGCGCCGCCCAGCGAGGTGTAAAGAACGTGCGTGCGGCGAAGAGAGCCGGCTGGCAAACAGCGCCGGGCCGATCATCATCCTTTGATTCGGGGCCTGAAGGCCTTAAACCCTCAGGGCACTAAGGACCCTGAGGACCCCAAGGCCCAGGATGGTTCAGGGCTCACGACGAAGGTTTTTGGGTGGTTGTTTTGGGGCTTAGCAGAGGTCTGTGGTGAACAGTGTCTGAGTGTTGAACCAGCGAAACAGCATTTTGCCTGGGCCATGCTGCGGCCTGAAAAACCTAGAGCCCCCTCGCAGCATCGACGAAGACTCTCACGAGTGCTTGTTTCTACTGCGCAGGTCCTATTAAGCAGATCGCGAAATCCTGAAACTTTAGATGCCTCAAGTCCCATCATCGGCTTGAGTGCCAATACCGGTGTCACTTCACTGTTCACTTTCAGGTGCTTGTGGGCTTTCACAGCCGCGAGACGGGCGAGAAGGTCGTTTGTGAGGCAAGTCGTTAAGAGATGCATTCTTACTGTGCGAACGTGTGCGGCTGTGGTATTTCATGGCCTCAGAAGCCCAACCAGGAACATCAAGCAAGCAAGCCTCAAATCCGGATCTCCTGCCCACACACACTCTCAAATCCACAAGCCCGAAACCCTTAGTCCCGAACCATACGTACCCCAGGTCACTGTGAGAATGCCCGAACCCTGAACTTGGGCCCCAAGCCCAAACGCCTAAACGTGAAGCTCCCTGACCTCTCTCGACCTTTGGAAGCTTCATGTTGAAGGTTTGGGTCTCACAGCTCCGGTTTGAGTGTCCAGGCATTGGGGTGTGAGTGTCACGGTTTGGTCTCGGTGCCCAGGAGGCAGATTTCCACATTGGCAGCTTGGCGGCGTCTCTTGCTCTTTTGTTCTGCCCGCCTCTAGACTTCGAAGTCTGAATCGATCAGAATCTCAGAATCGCATGGGATGCTGTTCAGCCGAGGCAGTTTGCACTGTCTGCCTGATGTGCTTCCGGAGCTCTTTGTGTAGCGGCTTCATCTCAGACTCCTAAAACCATAACCCGAACGGTGAACCCGAAAACCCAATCTCCAAACTCTGCCCTAACCCCAAAGCCCCAAAGTCTCGGAGCGTGCAGAGCAGGGTCGGCCTTGGGGCAGGCGTCTGGGAGTAGTTTCCTTCTGGCTTTTGGCTCGCTTGCTATGCAAAAAGTGCATGCCCGAATGGCAGGCCCTTCTGTATCAGAAGCATTGATCGTACGATGTCTTTTGAGAGGCGTTTTTTTCAGGGGACCTTGTCCAAAGCTCTGATCCCCGAGCCCGCTTGTGGTTCAAGGTTGGCCGATGCACCAATAGGTCTCAAGGCCGCGCCGGACCAGGGCCCGCCCTAGACTGGGCACATTGCCGCCCCCGCTCCATCTCAAAAAGGATAAGCCTAAACCCTCATTAGTAGCGCCTCCGCGGCCCTATCTTTTGAACCCACAACCCCAAATTTCTAGCCATGCCTTAAGCCCCTCAACTTCCTCCCCCAGCCCGCAGGCCCAGAAGAGCCCAATGAAGCCTAATGAAGCCTAATGAAGGCCAATGAAGGCCAATGAAGCCCACAAACTTCCCCACGTGCCCAAAGCCCCTCAGCCCCACCCAGAAGCCCTAAAACAGACCTCCAGATATATTTTCGGGGGCCCTCTCTTCTTGAGCCCTTCAACTGCTCGCTGCCATGGCAGCTTCGCGGCTCCTCCACAAGGCGGGTTTTGGACAGTTGTTTGTCCCCCCACCTCCCCTTCCCTTCCCTCCCTGCCCCCCCTCCCTCTTGTCTCCCCCTGTTCCGTTTTCTTGTAATTTGAAACGGTCGGTGTCCCAATATTGTGATACACTTTGGAGCTTCAGTTTTTTCGGGCATTTGGGTCCCTGAGGGTTTGAGACACATGGCAGCAGTGTTGATGCTGAGGCCTCAGGTTTTTGGTTGTTTTCATGCCCCTTGCCAGTGCCATTTGAAGGCTTGTCTACTCTGGATCCCGAGTCGCCATTCCTTCGCGTCGCTTGCGCCAAAGTTGCCGCGACATCGTGCGGACCCCAAAATTGACGGGACGGTTCAGGCCAAAGCCGCTCGAAGGCCGCGAAAGGCCGCTAAGCCCAGTTGAAGGTTCAGGTGTTGCAGGCAAAACTCCTGGCGGTTGCAGGGTGGTTGCAGCAGGTTTCACACTGCTTTAGCCCAAGCAACACAAGGAACATATGAAACATGTATGTAGCAAAAACCTTCTGTTGTGGTTTCTTTCATCTTCGGGAAGGGTTTTCTTATGGGCTTTTCCTCGACCAGCCCCAGGATGGCGCATGAGCGTTAGCAACAACACGTCACTTTAAGCTTTTTCTGGTCTTATCAAGAAACAAGGGCGCTATATGACTTCAAGGGTGCTCAGGGTCCCACAATCGGAAGCCCTCCCCTTCAACCCGAAGCTTTTGAAAACTTTCAACCGTTTATGGACCTCTTCCATTCTGGCGCTACTTCAAACAAAAACCACAGGGCCGCAAGACCCAAGCTTCAGCGTTTTCAGCGTACAAGAACTTAGTGCGAGGGGGATGTCCTCGGAGTTCTGCAAGCCGAGGGTTCGGGTGGAGGTCGGTATTGGGACCAGCAACTCCTTTCAAGCTTCAGCAGCGCCCCAAAAGCCAAGAGCCCCAAGAGGCTTCAATGTTTTGTGCACCCGAAGTCTGTCCAGATCTCTGTCTGAGCCCCTCTGATTCTGATGAGCCGTATTCGCTCGCTTAAACCTTCTAAGCCTGATAAGCCTTGCGTGCCTAGAGGCTCTCCTCCCGGGCGCCGGAAAGCGCCCAAAACCGAAGGGGACGCTGCGGACCAGGCAAGGTCTTGTTAATGCCTAGGGCCGTTTATGGAGTGCCGAACAGACGAAGCACGCAGTCTGGAGACCGCACCCAGAAAGAACTCAGATTCCGACTCTCATGCAAGTTGGCGTGGCTGCATGGTTCGAGCCCGCCATGTAATGAGCAATGGATGTCGTCTACTCTGCTACCCATCCATGTGAGGGTTTTACGTCCTTCCAGGCTTGGGTCCCCATGGCAAGCCGACTTGGGCACGGGTCACCCTAAACCCCCAACAACCAGGCGAGGTCAGTGGACAATGTAGAGACGCGCCTAGTTCTCTAAATTGAAGTGGCCTTCCTTGTTTCTCCTGGGTGAACATCGGCGACCATCGTTGAACATCGTTGAACTTGGTGTTGTCCGGTGCAGGGCCAGCTCCCTGAATGGCTCTTCGAGGATCGGCCTGTGTGGCTGCAGGCTCGGAGGGTGGAGCTCCTCGATTTGCCGCACTTTTCTTCCATTCCCCTGTTAAATCCCCTAAGCCTTCGACTCTCGAATCTCGGCAGTCGCAAAACTTTGGGCCAGCTCCGACGCTGATGATGCGCAAATGAGCCGTGGATTTGTGGGCTGAAAGGCCTTGGATATGGATCAACCGGTGCTTTCGGCTGGCACTGCAGATCAAGATTTCTGCGTCTGGCACGTGGTCTGGACCTCTTAAGGAAGGAGGACTGTGTTGGCACAACCCTAAGGCATAGAGAAGGGCCTCACCCGCGTTGGATTGCTGTGGTTTTGGGGCAGAGGTTCGTGGTCAAGTTCATGCGGGTGGTCTGGGCATTGAAAACAATTGCCGCTGGTCCGGCGTTTGGGACCCCAAATTCTGAGCATGCTCAGCACCCTCAGCTGGCCGGAGTGCTGAAACCCAAACCTTTTGAGCATCATCAGCATCAGCTGCTGATCAAGGTGGGGTCATGGTTCCGGGCCTCGGTCCCGCTACAGGAGAGCCGAAAGTATCAGGAGTACTCATGTATGTTTCCAAGGCTTCTCTCAAACAATGGTGGGTTTATGCCAGTCCCTTTATGAAGAAGGGTTACTGTAGGAGGTTTTCAGGCAGCTTGGCGAGCCAGGGGCCAACCGTAGCGCTGTGCAGGATTTCAGCCGTGGCTGTCGGATGCCATGGGATTGGCTCATTGGGCGGGTTCAGGGTGGAAGGCTTGAGGTTTTTAAGGTCTTTCTGTTGCTGAACCCTGCCAATGTCTGCTGACAGGCCCTGCTTTTGTTCCTGCGGGAGCCCGATCTCATCATGGTGCTCCTCATGTTTGGCTCTTCAGAAAATGCGGGCGAGTCAGCGTCGTATTGCTTGGGGAATGGGCCGGAATTGGTCCTAAAGACCTGGGATAGGGCCACTCTAGTTCAATGTGTTCCCATCTCGGCGTGCGGGTCGAGACGTGTACTGGTAACCAAAGGCTAGGGCATGCGATGCATGCGGGCATGCTCACTGCTATCATTGTGTGAGTATGGTCCAAGCATTGTATCTGGGCCTCACAGATCTGCCGGGAAAGAGACAAGAGCAGCAGGCATTCGTTCGCAAACTGCGTGAGATATCTAGTTGAGCAGATTAGAAACTCTGCGATAGCACGAAGCCTTAATCTGAAAAATGTTGTTCCAGCACCTGCAGTTGTAGATGATTCAAAGTAGCGAGCTCATCCTTGGAGCACACTTGGGACTCAGAGCCGTAGAGAAGGATGGCTAGCTTGATCTGCAAGTGCAGGATGACCTTGAACACCCGAGCGCCACAAGCGCCTCAAACCCCAAACCCTGAACAGTGTGCCCGTGTGAACCCTGATGGATGTGCGGCTCGTGGTTCGCGGATTAGGCTGTTTCGATCCCAAAAAAGGAGTGCCACAAAAAATGGAGATGTGGTGAAGGTTTAGGGCTGAGGGTCTTGCAAGTTTGGCTCCTGAGTTTCACCGCATCAATCCATGGAACTGCTGGTGTTGTTTGGAGGCGTAGGAGTTCAGGGGTTTTGCAGATTTGGGGGTTCGGGGATGGGCTCAAGGCTCAAGCCAAAGACTCCGAAAGTTACCCACAACCCAAGCCAGGTGCGCCTGGGAGGCGTGGCTCGGAGCTTGGGGACTTAACTTGAGGGTCTGGAATTTAAGGTTTAGGGGTTCAAGGGAGCAGAGCTCTTGCTTAGAGTCTAGAGGAATTGAGCTGTTGGGGCTTCTTGTCTTGGGATGGTCAAGGAAGCTCGCCGCGCTTCAAAGGGACTTTTTGCTTGAAATGCATATTGCTAGGGTCAGTGCGAAGTGGGCAAGGTCAATGTTGCACATCTGATCCCACCTGAAGTGTGGTTCCGGGGGTTCGAAGAGGGAGCCCCCCACCGCCCTCCCGTTTGCCCCTTTAAACGTCTTTTGCAGGCGCTGCACGGCGCATGGGACGTCGGCCGGCTACCGGCAGTCTGCCTGAGCTGAAGGCGAGTTTCGGCCGTGTAGGAACCTTGTTGGCTTCAGTTTCTCTAGGAGTTAGGGCTCTCAGAGCGTTCGGGGGTGAAGGCCAGTGCAGGGAACCTGGATTCAGGGATGAACAGCTACAGAAGCTGCATTGGTATCTTGGATGTGTTTCGAAGGATTGGAAGGTAATTATGGGGTCCATTTCCAGAGGGAACCTGAGCCGAAAAACAAAATATGCGGGAAATCCTGTCCCTTCATCCCTATTGCAAACCGCAAGCCTTGAGGCCCTAAGCGCCAGACGTTGAAATCCGGGCTTTGAAGCCTTTGCAGGCCTCAAGGCTCTAAACTGCAGCGGGAGAGCAGATACCAAAACACCAGCAGAATGCTGGAGCCGCACCTGAGACACAGGGTTGAGGGTTTAGGGTTTGGGGTTTAAGGTTTAGGGTTTAGGGTTTAGATGGTCTTAGGGTTTTTCATGCTCGTGTGTGCGAATAAAGTCCTGCCAGGAGCTCCAGCTACCCGAGGGCCAGCTCCGAGACTGGGCGCTGGAGGAGCTTCGGGAGGCGCGCGCCAGAGGTCCTAGAGCCTTAAACCCAAAACCCTAAACCCCAAACCCCAAACCCCAAACACCAACAACCTGGTCTGTTCTTCGCGGCTCGAGGGTTGCTAGGTTTTGGGGGTTTGTAGGGTCAGGGGGCAGGCTGCAGCAATTTAGGTTTTAGGGTATTATTTGGCCGGTTGGAGGTCGAAATTCCTGGTGGGTACTTCGGGGATCGTCTTTAGACCTGAACACAATCCGCGCAAAACAGGAACCCCAAAAAGAACCAAAACGCATTTTAAGCAGCAGCAGCGGCGGCGCCGGCAGCAGCGTCGGCACATGTCGGCATCAATTTGGGACTCTGAGGTCGAGTGCAGGTGCACGGAACGTTTGAAGATGCATTTAAGGGAGCGTCCTGCTACGCATCCTTGCACGCCAAAACCCTGCAGGTTTCTTCATTGGAGCATGAAGCATCCGAAAGTGTTGAAGTTGGAGACCCCAACAGCATGCAGGCATCAAATCACAATTCCAACTGAAACCTACACGTGTCAAGCTAGACACGAACGCCCCCTTAGTGCTTCTACATGCTTATCTTCACCACACCCATGAAATAAGACTGGAACTTGGCTCTCAGGCGGCGGATGCTGGGCGAAAGGCACAACTGAGATTTGAAACCCCCCCCGCGGCGGCCCCGCCCCTCTAGACTGGCATGTGGGCCTCAGGGTCGAGGATTTTAGGGTTTGGATGGGCTTAGGCTTGAGAGGAGAGCTGGAGGTCCGCGCTGTCGCGGTCCTGGCAACTGAAGCTGACCATGCGGCAGATGCCGTCGAGGCGTGGCAGCTCCAAGTGACAGCCAAAGCCCGAAGCTGTTCGGATGTTCGGGTTCAGTGGCTTGGTCTTCGCATGTTACACGTCACTGACCTTCTGCGGTATCCCCATCTCAGAGCCTCCGCACCCGTTCTCCTTCACCAGCCCCATGGAGAAGGTCCTGCGCTCGATGGGCTTCAAACGTGTCGCGAATCTTCGCACGAAGGACAGCTTTTTTTAGGGCTTCAAGGTGTCCTGGGATGTGGAGGCTTCAAAGAGGGTGTGAGGTCGCGGATCTAGAATTGAACAGCCTGGAACTAAACATCCGTATCGTAACAACTTGACAGCTTGGCTACCGGATGGGCCACGGCATTTGTCAATGGCCGGCAACCGTTCACCCTGACCAAGAGATCGGCTCAATGCCAAGTCTGGGGTCGAAGCCCTCTTGGGGCCCCAAGCCCCGAGACCTCGGAATCTTCAGGGTCGAGTGGGTCTTTTGGATCTGGTGGCGCAACTTCCCACCACGACCCTAAAGAGGGATCTGAGCCCTAAACCGAGTGGACCCTGCACCGGGGTTTCTGCGGCGCAGGCGTTTCTGCAACAGCTTCAGACACTTCCTGGGAGCGTCGAGTGACGCCAGAAAAGGGACGGCCCCGTCAGGCTCCAAAGGAAACTTGGGTTTAGGGTTCAAAGTAGACAGATGTCGAGCTTCTTCGGTTGCAGTGGCAGCTGCGAACACCAAGGGGCCTTAGACGTGGGGTTGTAAGATTAGGGTTTCCCAAGAAAAAAAGGAGGTCGCCATCAGGGTCATCACAAGGTGGGGGTTGGCCTCACTTGGGGGAAGGGGTTAGCAGCGGGTTCACTCGGGGCCTACAGGCTTGGTGTGCAATAACGATTGTGCGGTACGAGCCCTCCGTCCTCCGTGGAAAAGCTTCCTCCCCATGTTGTGGAGTTGCGAGGAGGGAGAAAGGGAGGTTTTCACCTCGAAAAACCCACTCAACGTGCCGCCAAGGTCGGTGCATCTACACCCCAAACCCCGGAACCTAGAGCCTACTGGCCCAGGCAGTAAGGCTAAGCTCTGGAGTTCCCATCATGGGAATAGGTGTGGTGCGTCATGGTCGGTGTTTCGGTTTGCCACGACACAGCCTACACCCTGCCGCCCCCAGAAGCCCCCCGCCGACAGCCGTGCTGCCCTGGGAAAGAGCCCAGAACCAACACGAAAGAGAGAGCATATGAACACATGCTGTAGGTTTAGATCCATGGAGTCAAGCCGACTTTCCGTTGCGTCTTTAGCGCAGGTTAGGAAGCCGGAGAGGTTTTTCGAATCGTGGCAGGCAAATGTCCTTGGTGGCATGTTGTCTAGCAGCGCCAGCCCGAACCCCGACATCCCACAAAGCGGCCCCTGAGAAGTAGCTTCCCAGAGAGCGGCTGTGGAGCAATGGGAAATGCTAGCCGCCTGGCTACCGATTTGCTAGGTACTGTAAAGCCCTAAGAGTCCTAAGAGGCCTTGACACAGGACTTGCGAAGTTCGAGAACTCGTTTTCGTGGGCGTTTTTGAGGGAGTCAGGGAAGTCTTTACCGCAAGATCAGGCTTGCCGAGGCCCAGGGCTAACCCCAACCCCTTGAATGCCTTAGCCCCTTCACCTGCCTGATCCCCAGGATCTAAACTGCGAAGCTCTAACTGCGAAGCTCTACATCAAGCCATCAGTCCCCCCAAGCCCCAAAACTTCAAGTCATCACACACTTGTAGCTCCATTTCTTCTACTTGGCCATGAACCTCCGATAACCGTTTTCAGGATTCTAGGATCTTTCTACCCTCTGCGGAAGAGCTTTAGAAGCAGGCACGCTTTTCCTGCTGGCATACCTAGTATGGCCAGCCCTCAACCCAAAACCTCCTCAGTGTGCCTGTGGAGAACACTGGGACAACCCTCAAGCTGCAATGCTTCCTGCGCCGTAAGCAACCTCCTCCCAACCCCCACACCTGAAGTTCCCCAGACCGAAGAGCCCTCAACAAAGCCTCAAGGGAGTTATGTTTCTGCCCCAGGCGGTCACCTGGATATCTGCGCGCAGGAGGGGAGGTTTACGGCTTGCAAGCCCCAGGCTTCAGGAGGTTGAGCGGGGGTTTAAACGCTGGGAAAGACGGAGACGCAGGTTGCCCAGACGAAAGAGATCATTACATGCTCGTTGCTTTGGCAAGCCCCGACCATAAAAGGCCTGGCACACGACCTGCCTTGAATCTTTGTACCCGTGGTCTAGGGAGGCGCCAAGCAACTAAGTAGAGGCTGCATGGGAGGGGTTGCATGGGGATTTCAGGTGGACTCTGGATCCTCCCCCCGCTTGCAGCCGGTAAAAAGTCCCGGCACCGAACCGGCATCCGTTGACCTTGCACCTGGCTTTGGAACCAGAAGTCCTGTGGAGGAATGTCAGCAGCGAGCCCATGACTACCTCAGGCGGTAGGGGGTAGGGGAGGAGTGGGTGCACTAGTTTAGGAGTTTAGGGTGTGGGTTGTTGGGTGGCGGCCTGCAAGGGACTCCCGACCCGAAGTTCTACAGTCCTCCTGGACCCTAAGCCCATCACCTCTCCCAAAAGGAAGTTCAGCACCTTGGGGCCACGGGAGGGATCAAACCTCTGAGAAAGCAGCTTCCAGGCAATCCCAGGTGCACATGGAGAAGGTCCTGGATGATGAGAGGCCTGCAGTGGCCCGTAGCATGAATCGACCCTTTCCCTGAACCTGAAAGCCCCTCGACCTCAAGCTTCGAAGCCGTGAGCCCTGGACCCTGCACTCAATCAGATCCAACAAGTCCCCCCCAAAAAACCCCTCAGACCTGAATACCTCCCAATCCTTGGTGGCAAGAGAAGTGCGCACGTGATGGGAGGCAATCCACAGGGTGGCGTCCTCAGTTTCTTCGAGGGGACGAGCTTGGGAATCTGGTGGGGTTGGGGCCCTGGATTCTAAACTCTAAGTTTGCGGATGTAGCGGTTACTGGTAGTCTGGGCTGAAGGTTGAGGGGTTTACGGGTTTAGTGATGACGTGGGCCTGAGGTTTTCCCAGTCTTCAACCCGAAACCCACACCCCGACTCCTCTCGGGTGTGCCTTGAAAATGCTAGCAGAAGTGGCTACGGAACGCATCCCAGAGGCGTGTGGGTTTAAAGTTTCGGGGATACCTTGTGGAATGTGGAAATGCAACAACTTCGGAGGCTTTTTTGGAGCACGCTCCAAACCTTTTACCAGTTCCCAGGTCCTAAGCGCTGCAGCAGCTGCGAACCCTAAGCCCCTAAGCCCCTAAGCCCTGCATGCTCTACGACCACACTCCTTTCTGAAATTCCAAACCCTCCTTAAAGCCTGAGGTCAAAGTGTCAAGTCATGAACGAAGCGAGCATCGTGGACCCCGACCCTGAACCCCAAACCCCCCCCCAAAAATCTCCAGGCTCGCGTAGTAAGTCCCTCAACCCTCGATCCCAAACAGCGGTGGGACGCCCCCAGGCGCCGTACCCAGCGAAGTGCACGAGGCAGGCTTACCGGACTTGGGCCGTAGGTCTAGTTTAGGGATATGCGGGGTGTGTACATGGGTAGACATCTATTGGTATTTGTGGCATTTACGGAATCCGCTTGTTCGGACCTCGCTAGAGGGTTTGAAAGTCCTCGTACAGTGAATGTCGGAGCTGGACTTCCGCTGTCGACCGAGGGCCCCTATGTTGACAAGTTGTTGCAGCTTGCATTGCTGTACAAAAGCTGAAGGAATTCAATGCAGCCTCACTTAGGATCACCAGCAGTGCTTCGCAGCATTGAGTTTTTGGTTACAATCTCTATCGCCTGATGCTTTCGGAAGGAGACCTCGCTATACAGACATGGACACTCCAACACGCACCAGACAGCAGGTTCCTGGGCACATGCTCCTTCTATCAGCAAGAGCACTGCACATGGCCACCTCCTAAAATGACTGACCCCTTTCCCCCCTTTCCTAATTTACTCTTTTGAGGTCAATACAGCTTGTAATGTCTTAAGATTCATACTCAAAAAGAGCCCTGAAGAAGTAATAACATACTCATCAAAACTAGCTTGGAACAACCTACTTCAAGCAAGAAATAGAAGAGGAGGCAGAACAAAGCGGAAGGCCATTTTCTGTGGGACTTTGTGAACTCCCTAAACCCCAAGCCCTAAACTCCCCCCTCAGTTCGAACCCAAAGAAAGCAGAGCCCAAGCAGAGAGGTCGGGAGAACAGCTCCCGTGGATCTCGGGGGACCCGCGAGCGGCCCAAGGTCGGAGAGGGTCTGAGATGAGAAGATGTTTTGTTTTTTTTGGGAGGTTTTTTTTTTTGAAGGTGTTTTTTCAGGGTTTTTGAAGGGTTTGTGTGAGGGCTTTGGATGGTTCGTTGAGTGTTATTTGAGGGTTGCTTGAGGTTGAGTCATTCTGGTGTCTTCGGGCTCTTAGGGTTCAGAGTCTTTTATTTGGGGCTCCAGGTCGCTGATGGCTTCGGATTCTGCGTTTGGGATCTAGAAACTGAAGCTGCGAAGCCCTGCACGTTCAACCTTCAACCTCTTGGTCCTAGGCCTTTCCTGAATCCCTGCACCACCCCGAGCACGATGGTTAAATATTGAAGATCCCAAGAACGACCGCCCTAAATTGCTTTGCATCCTTTTATCCAAAAAGCTTCCCAGATCCCACAATCCTAAAGCTCTTGTCTGGAGGCAGATGGGTGTTGGGTTTGATCAATTTCGGGCTGCACATGCACTGCCGTTTGTCCCCCTCCTTGAATCCCAAACGAAAAGCCACTTCAAGCGGGGACTTCCGCCCAAAGTTTCTAGGCCTCGCCACGAAAGTCCACGAAAGATAAGGCCCCGGCTCTTCGCCCTCAGAGAGTCGACCATTCGGCGAGGTTTCGTGGGCGCCGGCTGCATCCGACAACCCTATGCGGGAATACCGGCCAAGCCACGAGGAGGCACTCTCCGCAGTGCGAAGAAGGGGGGGCGGTTTTCTCGGGGTTTTCTTCGGGGGGGCTTCAGGGTTCAGGATTCCTGTGTTCCTGCGACCGGGGTGCTGCTTCGGCCGGGGGTATCGACGAGGCTTCTTGCATTGTTATCGCCCCAATCGGCCTTTAAACGGAACCTGAAGGCGCCAAAAGAAAAGCCTCCAAACCCCTCCCAGGCCCTGAACGCCTAAAGCCTTGAAGCCCTCCTTTCCCACAAAACAGGCAGAAGCAAGATATCACCAAAAAGAGCCCAGCCAGAATTGGGTTTAGGGTCTGGGGTCGAGGGTTGAGGGTTGAGGGTTTAGGGTTCAGGGTTTAGGGTTTAGGATTCAGGGTTCTTGGCGTGCGCGGCAACACCAGAGGCCTTGAATGCCTCCGCCAGCTCGGTGGCCTCCAGCCCGCAAGTTCCCAGATGGGAAGGCGCAGGCCTTCGAACACGACAGGGGGCTAGGGTTTAGGGTTTAGGGTTTAGGGTTTAGGGTTTAGGGTTTAGGGTTTCGAGTGGTTTCCGGGATTCAGGCTTCGGGTTTAGTGGCTGAGGGTTCAGGGCTATGTGAGCTGGTTGAAAAGGGGCCTTAAGCAAACTCCAGACTCCACCAGGGCAGTCGGCGACTTTGAGTGAAGTCCCTACACTCAAAGTCACCCCCTACAAGTCGGCGGAACC